GTAGCCTTTAAAACTGAATCAAGCAGCACATTTGCCCTCTACAACAAGACACTGAACCAACCAAGAAACAGAGCAATAAAATAATGATTGTATCTCAAATCTTCATGGAACTTCAAACACCTATTTACCAACGGGGGAGCAATGAAACTTTCTACTCTTTACTTAACAGATTTCTTTAAAACATGTCTGCGGGAATGAGGTGTAACTGACAACAATGCTTAGCTGCTGCTATTTTCTGGCTCTGCCTCCGTTTTAGATAAGCATGTATCTTACGAAGATATTGGTGTATAATTTGGAACTATTAACAGTGCCAAAAATGTACTTTCGAGCCAAAAAAGGAATTGGGAAGAGTTCTTTGTGTACATCATCCAGCTCTTCTGATATGGCAGCATTAACAGACTGTCCCCTAAGTTGGAAGGGGCTTGGAGATCTGGGCCTCACTCAATCGTGTGTTTTAAGGAGTAGTGTTTACACTCTGAAGGGAGATGTATACATGATTGGCATGAGGATGGTGTCAACAATAACTTTTCACTATTGACATTGGGACCTGGAAGATGCAACTTTTAGAAGGAGCTGAAAAGAAAACTAAGTAAGTTTCTTGCTCACCTTTAATTTAACCCTTTGAGAGGGTTTTTCCCACTTCAGCAGTTGTTCCAAAAGAACTACTGCCAGTCTCCAAGCTGGTGCTTTCCATGTGGGAAATCAACACTGGCCAGGTCACAAAATCCAGTGGGCCCAGTTTGTTCCTGTGTCTATATACTGACTCGTCTCTTCTCCTTTCTTTATCTCCTCCCACTCTATACATTGGTCTTGCCATCGCACTCTGTCCTCCAGCTGGCAGGGCTCAAGTGAGCTCCAGAACTTTGTTAATATTGCTGCTGTCAGCCAGCATGGCACTCTCCTGACAGGTTCTGCCTCAAATGTTGTCATCCCAAACTGGTTCCTGGAGTTAGACTGAGGTCCAAATGTATCCCTGGCCAAACGGGATGTAGCTCCATTGAACTCAATGAAGTTACACAGGTGCTGAATCTGACGAGGATTCAGACCTGTGTCTTAGCACTTATCTCTTGGGCACCAAGGCAGTAAGACTGAGTTTTAAAAGGTTGTTTGTAAAACTAAGCTGTGGTGATGTTGTGACCTCTAACAGACTTTCCTAATTAATCTTTCAGCCAGAATTACTTTGTCGGCATTGCTGAGGAAGCTGAGAGCACTGTGGTGTTAGGCAGCAGATTCTGTGGTGCCATCCCCTAAAATATTTGCATGCCTGTGGAATCAGCTGCAGACTATTTATAAGCCATATCAGAGTGCCTTATGCTGTTTCAGCTATCCTGTAAAAATATTTGAACACATTTCTTGGCTGATAAGCGTAGCTTGGCCTTCATCACTCTAAGTTGAATGCCTCCTCGCTTGTCTCAAAAGGTTGAATTGGGCAATGCATTGGATCTTAATCATCACTACTAATGGTTCTGATGTTTTGTTTTTTTTCTTGTAGCAAATCACAGATGATGGTCTCATAACAATATGCAGAGGATGCCATAAATTGCAATCCTTGTGTGCCTCAGGCTGCTCTAACATTACAGATGCCATCTTGAATGCACTGGGACAAAACTGTCCGCGGCTTAGGTGAGTTTTCAGTCTGGAGTCACACAATGCTGATTGAGTAAAGATGTGGATGACCTGGTAATGGAACTCCTTGACTTTTTTTTTATTCTAAAGGTCAGGACTTCTAGTCCAATCTGGAAGTCCACTAGTTTACCACTGAAGTTATTTCCAGCTGTCTAGCGAGAAGAGGATGACAATGAGTTAGTTATGTCCTAACTTCTGACTCCACAGAATATAATTCTACAAGATATCTTGGTGCAGCAGTGTTGTGTGTCACTCTGATGAGCTTATATAGAATTAGTGACAATTTCCTTTTTCAGTCCACGTATAACCTTATTTTTGGCTAAAACAACTGAAATTAGTCCACAGATTTTTTGTGTTAAGAACTGGAAACAAGAGTTTAAACTGCATTATTCCCTGCCTCAATACCTAGTTATTAATGTGTGTTGAGGATAGTTTTGGAGCATGTGAAGCAAAAAATAGTGGGTTTTTTTGTTAATTTTCACTATTTCAGACAGAGAATGGGCTTCAGGTGCCATCTCTATAAAGATTTTACAGCATAATTAGGAAAATGACATGGCGGAAAAAAGATGAGTATTGTCTGGCATCTGTTACAGCTGTGTGCCCTGCTTTAATTTGGCTAAAATAAGTGGTGTCCAGAATAGAAATGGAATTTTTATAATAAGCTTAAAAATAAAGTAAAAGACGATGGATACATGTGTCAGTTTTTATATATATGTAGTTCGAACTTTGAAAGAGGCAGATAAAAATGCTGTGATTCCAATTGGATCCCGTGTTTATGTTCAACTCTGCCTGGAGATCAACTGCATAAAATGCCATAAACCAAAGTATCTCACACATTTAAAGAAAGTCCTGATCTTAAATTTTTAGAAATGGAAATAATGCTCTCCCCTGCAGCATTATAGCATTGCGAAGTAAAATATTATAAAACAAATGAGGGAAAAGGGGGAGGCACCATGAAACTGCAATAGCAGAAGCAAAGAATTTTCAGCAGTCATCTGAACTGGGAATGAGCAATTTGCTATCTAGAAAACTTTAAATCTATATGTTATGGCATTAAGTACTTATTCTTACATGACCTGAGCATCATCATGAAATACTATTCCGTGTAATACACTACCTCATGGTGAGATTATCAAATGGAGTGAAGGGGGACCTCCATTCAAATGTGCATGAGTGTAATACTCCATGGAAATAATCCTCTTCGAGAGTACTTCCTTGACTTAATCTCTCCCCACCCTGCCCCTCTGCCCCCAATTTTTTTAATAAAACAGACTCTGTAAAGCAAAATGATTACCCCATAGTTAGTACATTCTTAATTCTTTCTGTACAGAATATTAGAAGTTGCAAGGTGTTCGCAGCTAACGGATGTGGGCTTTACCACTCTGGCTAAGGTAAGTGCTGCATTCCACTTTGTATGTGGTGCATCTCTGTTTCCTGGGAGCTCAGGGTAACAGTAGCTGTCTCCCATAAATTTATATTTTGCAAAACATCTCTTTTTGGTTTTGAAGTTGCGTGGAAATGAGAGGGCTAAGTAGATCAATAAATTGTTCATTATTCCTTAAATTTTCAACATTATATTTAGCCACCCAACTCCCAGTTTAATGAGTAATGTGCATCTAAAGTCAATGAAATTATTAACATTTAGCGAGAAACAAATCCCTGTACAATTTCATGCATCAGACAGATCAACCTGTACTCCATATGAGTAACACTGAGTTTAAACCCCTTTTCCTTTCTGTAGATATAAAAAAAAAAAAAGAGAGAAACAAGTTAGTAGATATTTTATAAATGTCTTTAAATGGGCAGGCTTGATAGATATTCAGTATTATGCTTGTTTTTAGTAGCATTGTCCTCCAGGGAGCAACAAACTATCTGTAGTCATGACCAACTTCAGAAAGAAGACTTTCTTTTCAACACACTTCATCTGTGTTGAGAAAGAAGGGATCCCATAATTTTACACGTACTGACTGGGCTTTGTGTCTAATTTGCTTGTGTGCTTTTATTTCCTGCCTGCGCTATATAGAACTGTCATGAGCTTGAAAAAATGGACCTGGAAGAGTGTGTTCAGGTAAGAGCCCAGCCTTCTGACTGTGGTGGTTTCATGCAGGAAGTCTCAGCAGTGCGGAAACATGGTCTGTGACAAATGTGTCTGGGTTTTAATAACCACACCTAAAGGGTCAGAGCACGGAATCCCAAAATCATTTTTTTTTTTTTTAAATTAAGACAACTTGTTCCAGAATCCAGAAAAGGAGATAAGTTTGGACAAGATGAATTACTTGTATATGTTCGATCACCTCTAGTCCAATTTTCAACAGAGAATTGTATTGAAAGACTATTGAAAATGTTAAAATAATCTGAAGATCCCATCAGATCTAGACTGTGTGCTTGTCTGCTAAAGACCATGTATAGTTCTGCAAATCTAGGCACCTTTGAAAAACCTGGCAACTGCAAGAACTACAAGCCCAAGGGTGAGATCTTTGCTGCCAGTAAGGTCTCTGGTACATAAACTGATAGAGATCAGTAAAGGTAATCTCCAAATATTAAACGTTACTGCAGCTGAAGTGTTTGAACAACTGTGACCTTGTTTGTGAAGGTGGAGGGAAATAACTAGAAATAAAGATGAGGTGCCCTCCAACCAAAAACCTCCCCAGAAGTCAGTGGGCTGTAATTCTTCACCAGCCTATGAGTCTTTTATCTGACTTACCTAATAACTCGGTGCCACAGACTCATTCAGTGGGTTTTTTTAGAATGCCCTTCATATGTGACTGAACACTGTCCTTTAGCAAATATGTCGTAAGAGTGATAAGATTAAGGTAAGATTTAAAGGTAAAGTGAAATATTGTGTTAAGTGGGTATGAAATGAGGAAGCCCTTAAAGAGACTGAATACCATAAGGGCAGAGCAGTTTTCAATTAGAAATGGATCGGAAGACCATGAAGGTAATAGGGTTTCACCTCCTGCAGTGAGAAAATAGACTGGCCCCAACATTCTGCACTGCCTGACAATTCTAGAATAGGGATTTAGGAAGGCCACAGAAAAGGAAATGACAGTAGTCCAGACAGGAAGTGATTTAAAGCTGTGTCCAGTCTTGCTGCTTTGTACAAAGACAATCTGAAAAGGGGTTTTTTTGTGGGTGTTTTTTTTAATAATTAAATGGCAAGGGGAGCTGGGGTTGCATGTTTCTTAGAATAGAAATTCATGCCTTGTTTAGCCTGGAAGGGTACGTCTGCATTGCAATAAAAAACCTGAGGCACTCAGACTCGGAGCTCAGCTCAATTGACTTGGGCTTACGGGGCTAACAATTGCAATGTAGATGTTCAGGCTTGGGCTGGCCCCCAAGCTCTGAGACCCCCTGAGGGGGGAAGTGTTCAGAGCCTGGAGTCCAGCCCAAGCCCGAACATCCACACTATAATTTTTAGCCCCAGTCAGCTGACCCAGGCCAGCTGTGGCTGTGCTAACAGGTTTTTTATTGCAGTGTAGACATACTCGAATGATTGAAAAACTAGTGAAGTGAGGACACTTCAGGAGCCAGAGACCAAAATCTGAGCAGTTTAGAGCAGAAGGGGTTTTTAGCAGGCTGTTAACGCCTGTTTAACTTCAGGTTTCAGAGTAGCAGCCGTGTTAGTCTGTATCCGCAAAAAGAACAGGAGTACTTGTGGCACCTTAGAGACTAACACATTTATTTGAGCATAAGCTTTTGTGGGCTACAGCCCACTTCATCAGATGCATGCAGTGGAAAATACAGTAGGAAGGGGGGTTGTATATCGTCCTACTGTATTTTCCACATATAATGTGTGTGTGTGTATATCTTCCTACTGTATTTTCCACATATAATGTGTGTGTGTATATCTTCCTACTGTATTTTCCACTGCATGCATCCGATGAAGTGGGTTTTAGCCCAAGAAAGCTTATGCTCAAATAAATGTGTTAGTCTCTGGTGCCACACATATTCCAGTTCTGTTTAACTTCAGTGATAAATGAACATTTCTCCAAAATGTATCTGTAAGTATTCTGCTCACTCCAGCAAAACCTGGGAAGACCCAGACATTCCTTGTGTTTCAAATGGGAAGAACAAGAAAAGAAGAAAAACTTTAAAAAACACTTTTAAATTACCCATCATAAGGAAATAAAAAACACAGACCCAACTTCTTAAAAATCCTTTCCAGTCACCTTCTAAAGAATAATAGGAACCTTTGGCTGAAATGTGATCCAGAAACAGTTCTGGAAATGTTTGAGATAGTGATTGCCATTTCCAATGCAGGAGAAGAATGGTGAATATTTAAGTACTAACTTGGGGTCATGTTTTGGTTGGGAAGAAATCGCTGTACAAAGATTTCAGTCTTAAAGGGCTTTGTGTCTCTTCCAGATAACAGACAGTACGTTAATCCAGCTTTCCATATACTGTCCACGGCTTCAAGTGTTGGTAAGTGTTTGGGCAACAGTTTTCTGTGTTCTCACTTTATAAAATGGTGGGAGCCTCCAAATTTTGCCCAATTGACGATTGCCTCTGCAATCTGCCAGGCATGTGATGGTTGTATCTAGTTTGTATAACATGGAGTAGTCTCCAGCCCCTTGTCATCTTGAGTATGGAACTGTGTGACCTGTGGAAACTAGAATGCAGTCCGGCTTAGTCAGTTCTATGGATATCAAAGTGCAGTGTTGTAATTAGCTTTCATGCCTTGCTTTCCTGCCAAAACCCTTCAGACACCTTTCCTTTTCCAGTGGCATTTTATCCTCTCTTCCATTCTGTGAGCTTGCAGCTCCATTCTGGTTCCACAGCTCTGATCACACATTGTATGATCCAAAAAAGAAATTCTTCCCTGTCTCATTACTGCATTGCAGTTGTCTGCTATTTCGAAGGCTGTTTCAGTGATTCCACACTTTGGGGCCTGAAAGCAACAGGCCTTGGTCCGGGATTAAATTTAGAGGTTTGACCATTCTTCCCCACAGAAATATTAATAATAATAGTAATATGTATGTTTGGATTTTTATTTTTGTTTTTAAAGCAATACTTTTGATCTATGAGTGTGTTAATCTGTTCAGACTTTATATAATTTGGAAAGTAATTATCCTGGCACATGGTTTAATTGCTTTAGTTACGACCCTAGATCGTAGAAGTCTGTATAATTCATTCAGGGGCTGAGCTATCTGTCCTGGGAGGGAGAACAGAGATGAGCCCGCGGTTTGGGAGCACTCAGTTCAAGTCCCTGCTCCACCACAGACTTGCCGTGTGACCTTGAGCAAGTCACTTATCCTCTCTGTGCCTCCATTCTCCATCTGTACAATGGGGGTAGCAGCACTACGGTGCCTCACGCAGGCGTTGTGAAGAGCAATATATTAACATTTTGAGGCAGTTCAGATACTGCAGTGATGGGGGGCCAGATAAGAACTTGAGATGGAAAGCTGCAGCCACCCTCGTTTCCTTTCTTCACACTATACTTCAGAAGCTGTTGTTGCTGAAAGAGTTTAATAGCACTGGTTGCCTCTGACATTTGAATCTTACTCCATGTGTGAAATGTGCATTATCGCTCTCATACAGGAAGTTTTGACTTGTGGGTTAGCATTTAACAGCCTTGGCTACAGTCCTACAAGGATGTATTCATAGAATAAAGGGCATAAGTGATGGCCCTAAATAAAAAGAACTGGGGTAGGGATGGAGGAGTTCACTCATTTGGAGCATGAATGCTTCTGGCCTGTAACCTATTGAATCCAGCTTTGACAAACCTCGATGTTCTGTATTAGTCCTTAGTGAGTTAGACATCACATTGTGTGGGAGGGTCTGCTTCAACCTGAAGTGAGGTGACAACAAAGCAAATTTTCTCACTTCTAAATAGCATGTTCCTTCCGTGTGAGGGGAGGGACAGCAAAGGCCACTGGGGAAGGGAGCGCTCACTGAAACAGCTTGCACTCTACCTGCCCTGTGCCTTAAAATGGCAGTTCCATCACTGACGGCATTTTAGATCTGAAGTGTTCAGGCATGCCTGCTGTGCTTCCTTGCACCCTTTGGACAGGAAACTCCTGTAACGTTGGGTTTCTCTCCGTCTGCACAGTGCTTCCTTGTCTGAGCTGCAGCGTTTCTGTCTCTGGAGCACTCACCCAGTGCATTCTCCTCCACAGCGATCTGTGCACCAGCTCTGGTTCCCAGTTCCTCTGCAAACCAAATGATACATGAACTATGCAGATGCTCTGGTGATGGACTGACATCACTCAATGGTGGAATGGTGAAATCTCCCAGCTCACTGCACAGTTCAGTTTCACGTCCAAGAATATTTAAAAATAAGGGCAGCCCGCAAATGTTGTGAAAGTCTGTCCTCCTTACAGATCCAGTACCTACAGCTCACAATAGTATTACCACTGTGCCTGGGGTACTGTATAATACTGTAGTATTGAAGAGCAGGTAAACTTTATAGTTGTCTTGTTTTCTTTTGACATTACATGGCTGCTCTTCCATCTACTTGAGACTTTTCCATCTCCCATGATTTCATTCTGGAGTGTATTAACAGACGTGTTGTATGTAAGACAAGGGAGGTAATTTTTTCCACCCTGCTCTGCCCTGGTGCGGGCTCAGCTGTGTGTCCAGTTTTGGGCACCAAACTTTGAGAAAGATGTGGACAAATTGGAGAGTCCAGAGGAGGAAAACAAAATGATCCGATGTTTAGAAAAACTGACCTATGAAGAAAGGCTAAATAAAAAAACCCTTGGCATCTTTAGAGGTGCCGGGGGTGGTGGGGAGACGCACCTGATAACAGGCTTCAAATATGTTGAGGGCTGTTGTAAAGAGGACAGTGATCAATTGTTCTCCATGTCCATTTAAGGAAGGACAAGAAGTAATGGGCTTAACCTGCAGCAAAGGAGATTTAGGTTAGATACTAGGAATAACTTTCTAACTCCAAGGATAGTGTTAAGCACTGGAATAAGTTACCAAGGGAAGTTGTGGAATCCCTGTCATGGGAAGCTTTTAAGAATCAGCTGGACAAACACCTGTCAGGGATGGTCTAGGTATTCTTGGTCCTGCCTCAGTGCGGGGGGCTGAGGTCCCTTCCATCCCAGCATTTCTATGATTCTCCCTTCTCCATTACATCTACATTATATGAACTTCCCCTGTGGCCTACAGGAGTCTTGGCTAGTTAGAGAGAGGCACAGGGACTCTGATCACCAGAGTTCACAGCTCACAACCCTCTCCGGCATCAAGGGACAACTGCAGACTTGCCCAGAACTGTGACATTTGCTCAAGGGTATTTTGTTCTTGTAGGACGTTATCTCAGTTCATCCCGTCATCTCTCCAGAAAGCTTCCTAGCCTGGTGTTCTTGATGGTTGTACAGTACTGTTTCCAGAGACCACTAACCACCTCTGTTTGGCTGCAGAGTTTGTCGCACTGCGAGTTGATCACAGATGATGGGATTCGTCACTTGGGGAATGGTGCCTGCGCACATGACCGACTGGAAGTGATCGAGCTGGACAACTGCCCTTTGATCACAGATGCCTCCTTGGAACACTTGAAGAGCTGCCATAGCCTGGAGAGGATAGAACTTTATGACTGTCAACAGATCACACGGGCAGGAATCAAGAGACTCAGGGTAAAAAAAAAAAAAAAAAAGAAGGCTTTTACTTACACGTTACTAAATGGCTGGACAGGGAGAGGGTGGTTGTGAGGATCCAGACTCACTGTAATCTAGACCAAGTCCTTAAAATGCCTGAGAGTGCTACAAGGGTAATGCCATCATCTGTGAAAATGATAGCTGTTTCATTCAAGAGAAGGCTGATGACGGTAAGCACTAGCTGGTGGGGAAGGAATGCTCCCTTCCTTCTGTGTAGGATCCAGTTACAGTTCCTGGTGAATAGAACTAAAAAGGAGTACGGGAGAAGCCAGCTCGCTAATGCTCACTTCACAGTTCCACAAACCTGATGATGCCCTCTCGAAACCTGGGAGCCTCGCCTCACTTCTCAGCAAAGAAATAACGAGCCAGTGTTCATATTGAGTAATCTGATGACGTATATGACAGAGCACTTCATATTGATACTTCCCCATGTGCTAGTAAATAACTCAATCTAATTTCTTGCAAATAACTAACAGCATCTCTTGATGCCTTACCCTTTACAACTTGTTTTTTAACCTACTGGCTAATTCAAATAATTCGGTAATCTGCAATGTGTCCCCAAGTCACAGTGCAAATTTGCAAAGTTTGACTGTTATTTCATGATATAATTTAACATCAGTAGCTCGGCATAAGTAAACTATAGCATCTTAGACCAAAGAAGGGCAAAAAACTATTATTTAAGGCTATCACTGCCTCGCCAAAGCTCATCCAATAAGGATTTTTGTGGGTGAGGAAATGTGGTTTTGGTGAACTCTGCTGGAGTAGGAGAGGTTTCCAGGCCACCCTCACTAGGCAGAAAAGGGAAATTGTAGATGAGAAAAAGAACTTGGTAACAGTCCAGGAAGATAAAATTCCAACCCTCCGCTCAGGTCTGTAAAAGTCTTGATATTTTGTGAAAGAGGAAACATGCTTTTATTTAGGTGGCCAAGCTCAGAAAAAATAGCAGGCCCTTCAGTGTCTCAGGCGCTTTTCAGTTGCTCGCCTGTATGTGACTGCGTATTGCACTGCCACAGCTGTTCTTTCTTTAAATACTGTGTTTATCTTTTCAGACCCATTTACCCAATATTAAAGTCCATGCCTACTTCGCTCCTGTGACTCCACCTCCATCAGTAGGGGGCAGCAGACAGCGCTTCTGCAGATGTTGCATCATCCTATGACATTGGAATTGGTCATCCTTGCAAACTGAGTATTTAATTACACTTCTAGAATTACAGTGGACACCTGTATCTTCAACGAAAGTGATCCCAGTGTCATTTGCAAGGGCCAGTGAAAAGGGCTGTGGCACCGGGCCCCTGTAGCCACCCATACACACGCATATACACACGCACCACCTGTTCCAGCAACTGATGAACTCTGTGACATGGGAGCTGGATCTGTGTTGTCTTTTGCTGTAGGTGGATTGATATAATTCTGAACCATTCCTACTGGGCATGCTCAGAAGAAACTACTGGGGAGGGGGTTGTGCAAACCCAAAACGACTGCTGCTGGTTTTTGGTTTTTTGTTTTTGTTTTTTAATGTTGGAACAGCACCAAAATCCTTCGACGTTGGGGGAGGGAGAGAAACGAACATGCTTTATTCTTGCATCCACTGTCCAAAAAAAAAAAAGAGATTTTGTTTTCCGTTCTTCAGTAAGGGAATGAAAACAGCAGCCATTGTGAGACATGATTTACTGTGCTTCGGTACTTCCTTGTTTCCATGCTAACACACTGAGCATGCTCACATTGAAGGTTCATCAGTTTCTTCTGTGTTTTGTAGCATTCAGCTCAGAGGCTTCCTAGATTGTTGTGATGACATAGCTTGAAATCTGTAATGTCGGGCTCCATTTTTTACCCCGCCCACCGCTCATTGTTTTTTACAGATTTCTAATTTAGTAATTTTTGAGATTATTGAACATAAGTTATTTATCAATAAAAATAAGACACTTTTTACCATTAGAAGGCTGCGCCTGAAACTGCCTGTCTGATGGGAAGATCTTAAATAGAAAGAGAGAGTGGAGCGCAGGCTAGGCTAATCTCATGGGCTTATTTGCCCATTTTTACCAATATTTGGGTCTCACCTCTTTTCCATTTCAAGTTTTACCCTAGCAAAGAGAACATAGCTCACAATATAGGGGACACAGCTACATTCTACAGTCCAACTAATATTGATTCCCTGGCTCCTGCCAAAAAAAAAAAAAAATCAGAATTGCGTTACTCTTGTCGCCCTCATCAAGGAATGACTCATTGAAGCAGAAGGGACAGAAGACCTGAAAATCTATCACTGATTATTGCCACATTGTCGTGTATTGCGTTTGTGAACTCTCAGCAACTTTGCTGACGTTTGCATGTTCCACAGGTAAGTGTCTTGTCCTGGAGAAGCATCCATTTGAGTGAAATGGGAGCCACAAGGATATACCATGCTTCCAGTTCCTCCCAACTTTCAAAAAGGGTATGTTCTGGCACATTGACATGGTTGATGTATATAGCAGCTGCGTTTTGAGTGATTCAGGCAAGCTTAACCCTGCTGCTGCAAGGGAATGTAGAGAACCTGTGACAGCCTCCATGTAATCATTGATTCCTTGATACCAGGAGTCCAGAATGCCCAGCACGAAAGATGCTAACAGATGCGCTGGCATTGCGGGCTTAATGGGGCTGAATTTGGCCAGACTATAGCAGGTTCCTGGAAGGAGCGATCAGGTGTGAGGAATTGCTCTTTTCCTGCTGTCAGCACTCTGGGATAGAAGAGAGAGCACATGTTATGTGAATTGTTCCCAACTGACTGAGACACAGAGGAATGAGCATGCTTAATCATCGTAATGGTCAGAGACTGAGGAAGCGGCACTCCACCTTTTATGGAGAAGAATTACAGGAGATGGGGAAGAAGAGATGGTTTTCTAAAGTACCAGTAATAGATTTCAGAGCTCTGAGGGTTTGGTTTTTTTCCCTGCACATTTATGTGGAGGGCAGTGTGTTACCTTCCCCGGGCTGTCATCACCACCTGAGTAATTCAGGCAGTTAAAAGGGTCATTTTTAAGCACTGTATAAGCTATATTCCTTCATCTACAATTCATTTCACCAATCCATCAGTATGTGTTTGTGAATCTGCGAGATCTTGTGAATCTGCTGGAAAGGCATGTAGAAGAAACCCAGTATGCACTGTTTAAAAGGATACTGACAGCTGTTTTCCCCCCACAGATTTTAATTTTTATATCTGTTATATTCATTAAGTCCTCTTTAGAAGCTGAGATAATCTTTCCCCTCAACAGCAGAGCTCAAATTCCATTTGCAAAACTTGCTACTTTCCCTTGATTTCAATGTGTCAGAAGGAGTCTGGCTAGGGGTTTACAATGTTGCAACTTATTGACCTCCCCAGCAAGTCAGATGTACCTCAATTTGGGCACCAGAAGTGGTCAGTGTTAGCACAGCTCTGGGAGTGATCTTTTAGTTAATTTCTGGTGGGGCAGGAGAAGAAAAAACAGTGGTTTTATAAGTCCAACCACAGAGGGGCTGTTTAATTTCTTGGCAATGGATTGCTGGGGGGAGACACACTTAAGAATTTAGAATCCAAAGCGTTTTCTTAAACAGGGTAACCGTTTGTGTGGCGTCCCAAACTACTTGACAAGAGTCCATTTATGTCAAGAATCTCTTTTAAATGGTCTCTTCCTTATGTTTTGTATTTATAAATACCAATAAACAACCACTTTCCAAGTTTTGTCTTATTGGAAGAATGCCTTTGTAGGGCAAGAACTTCAACAGTTTAGTGTTGTGGACAAGCTCTGGCTTTTGGAATTCTAGAATAGGTCCCAGGTGCATTCCCACTTTGTCTTGGTTAGCCATCAATCAGATATATGGGATTTCTAGGCACAGGGTTATGTCTCAGCCTAAGTGTTGCTGATGCAGAGGTGGTAATAGACTGGAGCACCGTTGTTTGACCTGATGAATACAGGAGGTATCACGTATTGAGATGAAGGGATCATCATTTAGGGGTGTGGAGGTTTTTGAGGGGGAAGTGGTGGGAAGTAGTGGAACTTCTTAGAGGTTCAGTGAGGAACAAACCTGTGCTGAATATCTAATCCGATTTGAAGACTTCTGCTTGTGCCAAATATGTGAGCTAAATTGAAGGACACCAGACTTCTTTCACTGGAGAGTGTGGTCTCCAGCGACTGTCAGTGCAGGTCTTAAAGACGTACCAGGCCATTGACTGTTGCATTTACTTATTGGCTCCTGCCTTGCGCCCCCACCAAAAATCCCCACATGCAGCCTAAATTGCTGGGATGATTCCATAGAAATCCATGTGATCCACAATGATAGTGGTATAGGTTGAACCATGTATTAATTCCTCTGCGTAACCTGTGTCTGTCTTTTCAACACGCAGCAGCAGCAGCAGCCGTGAGTTGTCCATGGACTGATGCAGTGGTTCTCAAACTGCACCAGTCGAGGCACTTTTGGGAGGGGGAGGGGGGACGACCTTCAGAACAGACAAGAAGGTAAAGTAAATGAAGATGCGTCTCGTACAGAGTGGTTCACAGAATAGACAGAGAACCTCTGGACTAATGGAATTTGACATCCTCCAGTAGAGGTGCTGTGAGGAGCTCTAGCAACCAAAAATAAGAGGCTTTTTTTAATTTAAAAAAAAAAAAAAGACAGCAGTACTTTCAATCATGATTCTAGAGCTGCTCCTGAAAAGGGTGGGACGAAAAGGTGTAGCGTGCTGTCACAATGAATCTTTAAAAAAAAAACTCAACAAAATTCCTATTTTCTAAACATTATTGTATTCTTCCTTTTTCCTTTTTTTTTATTTTAATCGAATGTGTTGTTCATGGCTGGCCCATGGTGTTGTGTTTTGGTTTTTTGGAGGGGGGGTGCAGGGGAGACCAGTATGACAAGGTTCTTCACTACAGTGTCCTATTCGTGGGGGTGGGCAGAGCCGAGGGTTGAACTGACCTGTGATCCTTTGTCCACACAGAGTGTGGCTTAGTGTTCGTTTTTAGTGAGGGGCATCCACCCAACTTGACCAAACTGCAGATTTTTCTCTTTGTGCGGCTTTACCAACGATACTGCAGAGTTAACCAGAAAACTCCCAGGCACCGGGAGTGTCAATCCTACCCCTCAGCGCTGGGCTTCCCAACCCCATGCCTGCCCTCTTGAGGGCTTTCCAGGCACGTACCAAAAAACATACTTTGATCTTTCAAAGCTTCAGGCCAAAATCTTCACAGTCCACGTTCAAAAATCTGGTATCTTGCCGCCTTAGCCCTTCATTTCCATCCTTGAGGATAACCTTTCCCTGGGTTACATGCCAAAAGCCACACAATTGCTGGCAATTGCACAGTTGATGGCAATTGCAGTAGCCCGGGTGCAGAGTGGATTCCTCAGCACAGCGCCACATCTCCAGTGAAGTCTGCTGGGTTTTTTAAACGCTTCTCGTCTTGTTTACAATCCACCTCAGATCACTTCTGCTCCCTTGTCGTTTATCGCTGCAGGGAACATGGCCTTGTACCTCTGGATTCCACAGTGGAGTGACTGTCACTGCGACAGGGCATTACTCTCCTATTGCTTCTCCCTACCTCCCAGCAGGCAGGGGAGGAAAAGGTTAGCACATGTTGCCATGTCCTTGCAGCCACCGAATGGGTTTAGCTTTCCACACCACATTTACCTTCTGGTTTTGTTTTTACTTGGACAGTGATTTTTAAAGCAACAGCCAAGGTACGTGGAATTGCTGGCTTCACCAACCCACCTCTGCTGCTCCTTCACCCCTCCGTTTACTGTCCCCACTGAGACAATCTCCCTCATGTCCCCTCAGATGTGCATTATCCCTCCCCAGCCACATGGAGGCCGTTCCTCTCCTAGGCCCCATCTGCACCATTGCCTAGCAAGGCTAGTGTGTAACGGCTTTTGATTGGTCTTGGCCCCATCCATTCTGTCCAGATGTCATCAGCTTGGCTACCCATGCATTGAGGCATGACGCTTAGATTGGCTGTAAAGCCAGGACAGGTGGGGTCTTGGAGACTATTTAGCTTTCACCATGACAATCTCTCTTGCACGGTCACCCCCTACAATCCTCCTTTCCCATTGAGGCCATTCCTACCGCACTAAAATCTTTAACCTTTGTGGATTCCTGCAGCCGACCAAATTCCTGAACTAAGGCCATGTCTACACTACAGATGCTATGCTGGCATAGCCCATTAGTATAGAGTCTAGACGCCGCATATGCCAACAGAAAGAGGAGTTCCATCCGCACAGTAACACCACTTCCCCAAACGACATGAATTATGCTGACAGTTGCATTTACATTGGGGACTTTGCCGGCATAGTTGTGCCAGCTAAGGGGTGTAATATTTTTTTTGCACACTCCTCCCAACATAGCTATGCTGGCATCACTTTGTAGTGTAGCCCTGACCTGGCTTTCAATTCTTCCAGAGGGTGATTCAGACTCTTTTTATTTTTGGCTGTGAGGCTCGTAATTTAATTTAATTGAATTTAACTCAAAGAAATAGTTTTTATTGTGATGAGAAGACTTTTTGTTTCATTGTTTGCTTTTTAGCATTCAGGATTGGGCTGATGTTCTTGTCTTTTATAGTTCCTTTCTCTTTCTCGTCCCAAACGCCTCTTATCTCGATCCAATCCAAATAGCTGCAGTTTTGGATTTGTTGAGTGTATTATTCTCTTAAAGTTGTATGTGTTGGAGAGGTTTCTTTAAATATTTTTAAACTTTGGTGGATGCATCATGTCCATTAGACTAACTTATTGGACACACAAGTTAGAACCTTGTCATACACTCCCTTAATTATATATATATTATAGAGAGAGATCTGTAAAATATTATTTTAATGATATTGTAATCTGTGCTTTCCCCTCTCCTGGACACTAAGTGTGGATATAATATTGCCAATTAACTAAAAGTAAAAATATATATATGTAGCTAAATTGTACTTTTTTTTTTTTTGTCTGTGTGATATGCCGTAATCCTGACTAACGCTGCGGTTGCATTGTGGTGATGGTAGTGCAAAGGAGTGCCCACAAATACTGCATTTTGAGGTCACACAGCAAATAGCTAAGGATCATCTGACCTATTCTATTTAACCTATTCTATTTCTTACACACTTAGGCTGGGGTTTTCAACATGGACTTGTACAGGAGCAGAGTTAGGCCAGCACTGAGCACTTTTGAAATCCCACCATTAACACAACTTAAAGAGGATCTTAATTGTTTTGGGGAACGATTATATGTCCTGACTGATCCTCAGTCCTTGGTATTGCTGCTTGGCGAATGGGTTTGTTGAATCTCATTATTTTTTAAGTAAATGGCTCACTTTTTTTTTTTCCAGAGTGCGGGACTTGGAATCTGGGGGTTTATGTTCTATTCCTGGCTCAGCCACTGATGCACAGTGTGACTTTGGGCAAGTCACTGCTCTGTGCCTCTGTTTTCCCATCTGTAAAATGGGGATGATACTGACCTAATCTTCTGGGTTGTTGAGGCTTACGTTGTAAAGTGCTTTGAGATCCTTGAGTGGAAGACTTGTTACTAAAGGTCCAAGTGTTAATATATTTGGCAACAGCTGAATGTCACGAACATATTAGCCCCGACACAACTGTTCTCCCATTGTGATGAAGAAGGGAAGATCCTTCTTGGCTTCTGTTGTTTATCCTCCTTTCATAGTACCAAACCTTGGGGGGTGGGGGAGAGGGGAGAGGTGCCCCCCCCAGTCCTTGTTGATAAGTGTGTGTGTTGCCTACTCAAAGCATCCTAAAATTGTAATTTACAGGACATTGGGACCCCTCTAGTTAAAGACTGTAGCGAGGAGAACATGAAAACCGCAGGTGAGTAGTCACCCCAAGGAATGGAGTGAAAGCGACAGACCACAAAAATAGCTTCATTAAAATTTCATTCACCACCAGCTTTCCTCCCGAGTCCATCGCTGTATGTAGTCAGGTTTGGATTTGTCTGTGGCTAAACAATGACAAGAGACTGCTCAGAAAAGGGAGAAAACCAACCTATTTAAGATGAGATTCTAGTGCTGAGCATCCCTGGTATTTAGGATTGATAAGGGCTTCTTTACACAGGCGTATAGGAGTTAAGTTCCTAATTTCCAAATGCAGTGGGAGTTGTCCCACCCTTTATCGATGCTTCTGAAAATTCCAGCCTTAACTATGGCAAGTGAAATATGTCTGGTCCATTAATGTTTCATCACACCACACTGCTTCTCTTTCACTTGACTGGAAGGCAGATAAGGGGGTGCAAACAGGCATCTAGTTAAAGAAATCTGGGTTCCCTTGGTACATTTTCATTCCCAACTGGATATGAGGGGCTTTTCGAATGTGAGGGGTCATTGTTGGCATTCAGAGTCCTCACTGTATTGAGGCTCTATGGGGGGGTAGTTCTCACCTTTCTGAAAGATGCATCATCTTCAGCAGGTTTTCCTCAGCACTATAAGGGCCAGATGTTTTTCATAAATGAAAGCTAAACATAGGGAGCCACCAGACGGGCTTGGGGAAAGCTACGCCACCTCCCCACTTGTCCTAAACTTCATACGCTAGAGTG